ATAATATCCCGATCAGGCTTTTTTGTATATTGCCATTGGATTTAAAAAATCGTGAACGGTAGACCCTTAAACCAAGACTAGAGCACCTTTGATTCCCACTCAGTTTTTCATCCACTTTCTTATGCTATATTCAGTCACTTTTGTGCAATAACGTCACGATTTTTGCGGTAATGATTTTTTCCAAAATGTTTTGCAAAAATATCCCGATCAGGATATAAATTTTCTGTGATATCCCGTTCGGGATATAGGGTTTATCCCGATCGGGATATCGGTCGTGATACCGGACTGCCCGAGTCCAGAGTTGAGTTCACCGCCGAAATAGCTTCCATTGAACGTCGACAGATCGGACACGTATCACGTCTGGACAGTGGAAAGAAACCGTTAATATCAAATTGTTTCTATAAAATTATTTCTATCTTTCTTGATCACATTACTCTCTGAAGAATATTCTCAACAAGCAGCACTAAGCAAGTACTACGATAGTTTTGACGATCATCGTTGTGCTTGTAAGGCAACGATAAACGAGGCACATTCCCAATTCTTGTTTCTATTCACTCTCATATTATGTCTTGACGTGTGGGTTTGTCTGTCCGCTAATAACTTGTGTCTACGCCCTAACACACAGGGCGTAAGTCTCGGGTGCCGCGACTACAATGTGCCTATGTGTGTTGTTCTTTTGTCCACGCCTAAGTTTAGGAAACTATGGGAAACTACAGTCTGCGGGGAAACTACGGAAAACTGCAAGGAAATCGAAGAAAAGTACAATCACAAAGGAAACTAGACATTCTGAATGCAGATTAAGGAAAATCGAAGCATACTAGGAGAAATCAATGAGGACCACTGTAAGCAGCTAAGAGCTTGATAAAACAAGAACCATTACGCAATAATTTACACAATGCTTGTCTCACTGCACGCCTTCGATGCTTGTTTCGACACACATTCTCTAACTGGCTAAACTTTCTTCTGAACGAAGCAGTTTTTTCGTGATGATCACTTACCATGAGCTGAAGCTATTTTTGTTATACATCTCACAGACATGATGCTTCCGCCAGCTCACGTAATTGTTAACCGGAAATTCTACTCTGTCCTGAACCACACATTTCTGCTACTTTTTATACTACTGGTTGTCTCGTGCATTATTACTATAGATGCCTCAACAAAATTTACCAGTTTCCCGACACTTATCCTCATTTCCCCTTCGTTTCTCAGAAGTTTCCACTGGCCAAACAGCACACAATGTGCTCCATACTCTCGTGTGTTAGACGTAGATAACTGTATCCATCTGTCCGCTAATAATTTGTGTGTCGCTAGTATATAGCATGTTGATATACATACAAATATAGAGGTATTTTAACTGGAGAAGACCCTTTCCTGTACAGCCAAGGGAATACCATTTTCATCCGATCGAGTTGAAATGAAGTGTTCGATCAACAGAATCGACCGTAGAGGTCCCTCATAGTTATTTTCTGGCTACCCATGGCCGACTCGTCTGCCGGTCCCGTGGGTTGAGGAACTTTTATCTGAGAACGACCTTTGATGACTATGAATCAAAGACAACACTCACACCTCCCGCTGGTGGGCGTTCGCTATAGGACCATCAACAATATGTGCGTATGTGCGTCTGTCAAACTAATCTTTTCCGCTTAGGCATGCACTTTTGGAAATACTCTTGCCAAAAATAGAAAATCTTCGGTGTTGTCGAGAGTGCTGACACCAGATTTGTTTTTTTCAGTGCTATGGAGTTCAAGCACCTTGTTTTCTTCGGATTTTCAGTATCGTCATTAACGTATAATACTTGATCTATTTTTGCTAAATGTTTTATTATCATTGTAATTTATTGATACAAGAAATAATTAATGGCCGGGTTAATAGTAAGATCACTAGAAAAACCTCATTCATCTAATTCAGCGTTTACTTTTTCACATTCATAATGAATTCACGACTCTCGCACGAACTCTACTACTTATCTTTTTCCAGTATGCATACGCTGCATATCAAAAGGAACCTTTTCCTTAGAACCTTCATATGTGCAATTAGATATCTCTCGACGTTTAAAGTGTAAGAAATAATTTCAGTCGATCCCTCTCCCCAATCCCAAGTGTCTCGCGCCAGCTCTGGATGTTTAGCCACTGATACGACATATGTACACCTCTATAAAGAAGTCGTAATTTCTACCAGAAATCTTCATTTATGCAGCAAAAAAGTATACGGAATTGAACTTTCACGTCTGTTTATAATACTAGACATCGTTCAGCTTTTATTTAGAGTGACTGTGGTCTGACAGAGTAAACGCTAAATGTTTTGAAAGTGATAAAGCTGTATTAGATACATAGCACACAGAAGAACGTCCTCTCCACCAGTTAGTGTGGTTACAAACGCATGCACTACCCCACGGTGAATACCGCACCATGTCCTGGATATACTCTTTGGTGTCACAAATTTTTAGATAGCCAATTGGTACTAAATATTGACTGGTGGTATTCATATCACTTTGATTTCTCAACCCCTCTAAAACGGAGTCTTCGTCAATGAAGTTTACCCATGTTCTATTGCATATACAAGGAGTTGTTGATGGAATATGTTTCAATGCAATCGATTGTTGACTGCACCATCTGCTAAATCCTCCATGATCAAGGTTGTCCAGCGGTACACATTTTAGTGAGTATGGATAATTGTGGTAAATCCCAAATTCTTTTCGTTTATATTTTAACACAGCTTGTATTGATAAATCAATATTATGATCCCACGTGTATTTATTCAAAACAATCATTTGTCCTTTAGCTGCACGTTGTTCACGTTCCTGACTATGCGTTACCCAATAATCAATTATCGTTTTTATTTCCGTGTCGGTCATATTCATTGACAACTCTACAATATAACTTCGAAATTCTTCTTCTCTTTCATAAGGTATTTCGCTCATTATCAAGCATCCTGCTAATGCAACCTCACTGAATTTTGATAGTGCATAGTAATATCTCGTTGCGCCAATAATGACAAGTTTAGCTCTATGCAATAATGCAGCATATGTACGATATTGTTTTTCTGACATTTCAACCGTATTGTTCTCATTAAGATAACCCGGATGCTGATGTACATAGCCACTTATCTTTTTATCCCAGATCATTTGTGCTATTCTCGTTCTAAGAGGATAAACAAATGGTTGAAGAGCTCCAACAACCAATACATCAATATCACGTATATGCACACTCTTATTGTTAAATATTAATGGCGGATAAAATATCAGTGGTTCAGCACTTGTTGGTGAATGTTGAATTACACGATTGTATGACACTGATTTATGATACAAATCCATTTCATATGCATAGGTTTGTAAGAGAATACTTACATTATAATCGATTAGATCCGGTATACAGCGATACGCCCAACATTCATGTTCACGCGTCATAATTGGCGTATATTTACTTAATGAACGAGTTTCCATTAATCCAGGACTAACAACCTCATAGACTACGTCGAAATAATCATACATTCCAAATCGATTTAAAATGTTTTCTTTCATACTTAGTGTCGAATTATAATCTAAACAAGATGGTGAAAGAGTAAGGTTTTTTTCTTATCGCTCATTGCAAGGTGAATCTTCCGCAGAAATTTTAAATAACATTCGGTAGAAATAAATACAAGAGAGCCTCATAAAAAGTGTTTATAGGACGATTTTATTAGTTTTAGGTAACTTGCGGATAAGTGAAAATATTTTGTATAATGCGATCGGCTTCAATGCAGCGAAAAGATTCTGCATGCGCTATGCAAAGAAAGTGTTCGAAGAAAAGAATTTTGCGCTTCGACGGTCGCTTGAATGATGTAAAAGAGCACAAGACCAGTTGATAAAATTAAATATTTGTAACCAGATTAGTACTTTTGGAATCATAAGAGAGTTACGCCTAGTTTCATTCGTGAAAGTCTCATTGTCTGATAGTATTTCATTTCTTGACGGAATCATCTACTTTTCGTTGAAACAGTGGAAAAAAATATACATAAAAAGAAATTGCAAAAATGGAGGCTATTCAGCTCAATCTTCAAAACACAAATATGTCTTCCAACGATATGAGTAAGACGGAAAGTTCTTTACTGTTTACGGCCATATTTAGCTATCTCATAGCTGCAGAATCAGATTGAGCAGCTAAAACAGAGTATATCTTGATATTTTATGGTAGCTTAAGATCAATTCTCCATGAGTTAAAAAAATGAAGTTTCTAATTTTTGGCGAAAGCATCCAAAAATGGATTATTTCGGCTCAAGGGTCAGGCAGACACAATGACGCCACTTTGCAACTCATTCTTTGGTTAGTCATATCAACTTCCAAAACTTCGCTGTAAGCTTAAAAGACAGAATTTTCTCTAGATTCTACCGGTGTGTTTAGATTAAGATGTATCTTAATCATCTTTTCACTGTACTCATAATATCGAATGTCTCAACTGCTCACCACTTTACTAAAATATTTTATATCTTCATAGAAGTTTTGCTCGCGCTATTTAAACACGATACTAAAAACTACAATAAATTCTTAATTGCTGGGGCACAAAACCATATTTTTGAACAAAGCTTTTAGTTTTTGATGAAAACATCCAAAAATAGATTATTTCATACAGCCTGCTAAGCCGAAATCGAATGATACTACTTCAGAATATCATGACATACTCTATTTTATCTGCTCAATTTGATTCTGTGCTTAAGATCGGTAAAAAATGTTCCCTTACTTTGAATAACTTCCAGCAAACCGTTTCCAAAATCAGAGTTGATTTTTGAAACATGCGGGTAAAATCGAGTATACGTGGGATTTTTTAACTCATTCTGATTTATTCTGAGTTAATTGTGAATTTATTAGTTTTAGTAAAATTAGTTTATGATCATGAATTTCGATAAGCAAAATTCGATTTTTACCAGGCTCTTGTACTTTTCTCTGAAAAGAAACATTGTAACGGGTGGCAGTGTGGTTAATAGTCCATGTTTCATCAGTTTTTGAGACTCAGACTTTCAAAGTTTAAAAATTAAGTGAAAAACGCTGAACTTTCGAAAAAAATGATTTTTGGAACACCGCTTGTGTACTAAAACTTCGAAACCGAGTTTTTCTTATTGATCACGAAAAACTGAATAGGAAAATTTGATTTTGATACTATTAGCATATAACATAGTCGAAAAGGGACTGCGTCCAGCTCGGGAACGTATCACGTTTCTTGGTTAAAAGATCTAAGAACTATTTATACTATTTGACCCCAGGGATGCACCGCGACGGGATAATCGATACCCTAAACATTAGTCTCAAATAGTCTCGATATAAAAGTGTCGGTCTCGAAACTTTCCGAAACTCGAGAGGTTTCAAGACTTTTTTTTTGTTTCTGTATAGAAGATTTCGCTGGTGAATATGTAATGGACGTAATGTCTAAAGACACTTTTTTCTGGAGTAGATATTTTGTATGGTAACTTTTTTGTTACTTTTAACCACTAAAAGTGAAAACTTCATGTAGTGTGTAAGGTTAGCTAACTGAGCATTACTTATTTTAATTTCCTCAGAGTAATAAATAAAACTAAATAACAGAAACAAAAACAGATTGATCTGCTTCGTTCGTTGTTTTCTTGGGTAGAGAAGCCGATATATCTTGAAACTTGGGGCGACAGATACCTTTTATTCTTTTCTGAAAAGTAAGACCTTACGCAGTTATATGAAAAGTACTTCGACTACAACGGCCATTCCCTGTGCAAAATTTCCTTGATGAGCCACTGCTGTCTCTGTATGTTTTAGGCAGATTCCCTGTGCATTAGCTACACAGCGTGACTGAGTGATTTGCGAATAGTTTCGACGCATTCAGCTTTAGTCCAGTTCATGACTACATATAAAATGACAGACACACTGCGCTTGAAGAAAGTTCTTTCTTCACCCATCATATTAAAATTAGAAAATATCTACTACACAAAACAGGTTGCTCATAGTCTCTCATATTCATTAATCGCATGGAGTATACGACACCTTGTCGATCAAAACGAAGAAAACGGTGAGAGACTCAAGAATAATGTAATGCTGATTTTTCTTCAGTAGGTCAAATCCTCAGTATCTTATCTTGATCGGAGAGTAGCCACGAAACAAATTTTAATCATGTTGGGACTAAAGATTCGGGTATCGAAACTACAGTATCGAGGCCTCTGGAAACATTTCGTCTCAGTGCAGGCTAATTTGAACTACGACACCTTCATTATTAAAAAAACACGAAGTGGTCTAAGAACGAGAAAGTAGGAAAAAAACAATGAAATTGCGTTCGTATTTTTCGTTTTCTAGATCGAAATCCAACTTTTTGACAAAAACAACGCCGTTTTCGGAATTAGCGTTAAAAAATGAGCCGAAGAGTGTCTGTTTCGGAATTTTTCTGCATGAATTTTTTCTGATTTTTCTGGACTTCTTGAAAAACTGCAAACTCAGAATTTTCAATGAAAATCTAAATTGCAGAAAAATTCCGAAATACATTCTCTTCGGCTCATTTTTTAATGCTGATTCCGAAAACGACATTGTTTTTATCGCAAAGTTAGAGTTTAATTGAGGAAACGGCAAAATACAGCCCAGTTTCATTATTTTTCACCAATTTCAACAAAATTGAATTTTCTCAGCAATGAAACAAAATAAAGGAAAACCCATACGTCACTTTATTTCTGAATGCTCGAAGACCTCAAAATGCAGGCGTAAGGAAACGATGGGAAGATAAAACAGGAAGATAATCACAGATGAATCACAGATGATATTGCCAAATTTAGAATCAGGAATTGGCGGAGAGAAACGATGGATAAGGATAGTGGCATCAGATTATCAATAAATACGTGTAAGTTACACCCCTACGTTATCGGCATGCACCAATTACAGTTAACTGTAAAACTGTAACTGCTCTTAACTGTAGGCAAATATTCTAGACTGAGTTAGTTTTGTACGATTTGCATACATTTTAAGAATAGTACATTATTAACTCATTAACTCCAAAATATTTGCCTACAGTAATGACAGTTACAGTTTTCACAGTTACAGTTAACTGCTGAAATACTGTAAGTGGTGCATACCTACGTACCACAGTGGGCATTTTTTGCTAGAGCAAGCGGACTTTAGCTTTATGAGTGAACTAAAATTTCATGAACCATCTTTTTATAGGTTTTTCATGATCCTCTTTCTAATGGCATGAGAGTTGGGTTTTAA